AAGAGGAACCTTCGTACACTGTTGGAAATGTAAATTAGTACATCTACTATGGAGAACAGTATGAAAGCTCCTCAAAAACTAAAAATAGAGCTACCATATGATCCAGCAATCCCACTGGTAGGTCTATATGCAAAAGAAAGGAAGTCAGTATATTAAAGAGATATCTGCATCCCATATTAATTGCAGCACTATTCACAATAGCCAATATTTGGAAGTACACTAAGTGCCCACCCACAGATGAATGGATAAAGAAAATGTAGTACATATGCACAATGGAGTACTATTTAGCCACAAAAAAGAGTGAGATTCTGTCATTTGCAACAACATGGATAGAACTGGAGGATACTATGTTAAGTGAAATAAGCCAGGCACAGAAAGAAAACTTGGCATATTCTCATTCATTTGTGGGAGCTAAAAATGAAAACAATTGAGCTCATGGAGACAGAGAGTAAAATGATAGTTACCAGAGGCTGGGAAGAATATAAAGGGAGAAGAGAAAAATGAGGATTGTTAGTTGCTAGAAAAATATGGTTAGATACAGTGAATAAGACCTAGTATTTGACATCACAAAAGGGTGGATACAATCAGCAATAATATGTTGCACATGTTAGCAAAACTGAGGGAGTACGACTGGAATGTTTGTGAAACCAAGAAATGATGAATGCTTGAGATGATGGAAACCCCATTTGCCCTGATATAATTATTACACATTGTATGGCTGTTTTAAAATAACTCATGTACCCCATATATATATACCTACTATGTACCATGAAAATTTACAATTAAAAAAACTTTAAACATCAAACATATGTAGCAGACAATTGCCATTTGTTCCCCAAGATCAGTGTTCTCTTTTTTTCTACACTAGTAAAGCCCTAAATTTTAGCTGGACACATGACGACCCAAAATCTAGACTACATTTCTCCATCTCCCACTAGCCAGGTGTGGCTATGAGACTAAGGTCTAGTTAGTAGGATTGTCTTCTCTTCCTATTCTTACTGGCTGGAACACAGACACCATAACTAGAGATGGGGTGGCCATCTTGGGTCATGGAGTGAGTGTAAGAAAGTGGGCCATGGATGGGAGAGCAAGGCAGCAGGGCCCTGGCTCCTGAGGACCCCATGGAATACTGCAATCAACTAGCCCTGCATTTCCTATGTCTGGATTTTCACATAGGAGAGAAATATATTTCTATCTTGTTTCAGCCACTGTTAATTTAGGTCTTGGTCACTTACAGCAAATTCGTGTTTCCAACATGGAGAATCAGGGCTATTAACCTGAGAGCTGGAATGTGTTGTGAAAAGCAGTTAGGATAAGGGATTCAGAACTGGGGCAGAAGTGGTTAGGGTAACCTAACAAAATGTAAGAGTGGAGGAGCAGAAGAAACTGGATGGAAAGAGAAGATGTTACGATAGGAAAAGAAATAACGATTACGGGGGCATGGGGAGGATAAACTTAGGGTGGAATAAGAAATTAAGTCTTGAAATAGAATTTAGTATCCTGATTAATACAATTCTTCATCACTAACAGCTTTTATCTGGCCCAGTTACATAATCTACCCAGTGTGCAGTGAATCTGGTGGTGGAAAGGACCAGCAGGACTAGAAATTGACTCTTAAATGGGAAAGAACAAAGATAATGCTCTTATGCAAAGAGTTGATGACTGACACTGCTTTAAGAGAGGTTGTTTTAACAAAGTCAGACCTAAGAAATACATCTCTAACATTCTCCTTCTGTGCAGGAGGGGAATTTCAAGGGCACTGGATCCTCTTCCTGACCCCACTAATCCCATGCTTATCTACCTTTCGACAGTGTGGTTCTCTCATTCATTGGTGGAGTCCTACCTATGTTTGAATAAAGGTTTATGTCCTTTGTTGAAGACATAATGAGGACAGTTATTGAAGGAAACTAACAAAAAGCATTCCTCCAAAAGTGTTTTTTTTTAAGGTAGCCATTAAAATTATAAAGATACGTATTACTGACAGTTTGTGCTTCTTTTCCACACCTGGGAGCTTCTTCAAGATTACAGCCTACAAACACACACACACACACACACACACACACACACACAGAACGAGAGAGAGAGAGAGAGAGAGAGAGAGAGAGAGAGAGAGAGGGAGAACTTAATTTAAGAATGAGATACCTTTAGAGACCTAAATGAATGAATACAATGGTGGTATTTACACCCTGTGGCGGACAATCACTGAGATATTTATTTTTAGGAAGGGGGAGTTTCTGGTGCCCCTCAAACCATATTCTTTTCCAGGACTCATTTTATATATCTATAGCTTATAGGGGATTGACTATTAGTTGATCTCACTGAGATTCATTTTAATCAGGACACACCATGGTATATATATACTTGTTGAAAAAAAAAAACAACACACAGTTAAAATCCATCCATTTCTGGGCTTTGAAATGGAACTTTCTTCCACTTCTCTGTGCTTTTAATCAGTACTCCTCCCCCTACACACACTCACACTCACAGCCTGTGTTCTTCTTGTCTACCAAAAGAAAAGCTGGATCAAGTTGTCTTTGAACACCCAGGTTCTGCATAAGGGAAGTGATGTGACAATTTAAGACAATCACCTAAATAATTCACCCTGAAAGCACTTTTACCTTAAAATATTCAGATAATGAAGGTGGGAGATATACGTCAAAGCACCACGAATCACCAGATAATTATTCCAATTCCATACTTGATTTTTGTACCAACTTGATATATAAGACAGTGATGATAGTAAGTGAAAATAAAAACAGCACCATCCTGTACTGAGCTAATCATATTTGAATGGCAAAGTTCTTCATATTCTTATAAATTTATTTCAATGTAATGAATCCAACAAACTCTGAGAACAATGTAGCAGACTGGAATGAAAAAGCCCCATCTGCCAGACCACACATCAGTTCCTTTCTTTTCCTTTCCCTACATTTTGTGGTTTCGATGTGAACATAGAACATGTCTTGGAACCCAAGACTTCATGTTGGTGCATTAGTATAATTTTATTTATTTATTTATTTTTGAGATGGAGTCTCACTCTGTCCCCTAGGCTGGAGTGCAGTGGTGCAATCTCGGCTTACTGCAACCTCCGCCTCCCGGTTCAAACGGTTCTCCTGCCTCAGCCTCCGGAGTGGCTGGGACTACAGACGTGCACCGCCACGCCCAGCTACTGTTTGTATTTTTAGTAGAGACCGGCTTTCACCATGCTGGCCAGGCTGGTCTCACGCTCCCGACCTCAGGTGATCCACCTGCCTCGGCCTCCCAAAGTGCTGGGGTTACAGGCATGAGTCACCGCACTCGGCCGCATTGATGGAATTTTTATAAGATACTCCAGTCCCAACCCAGGTAGATCTTTTTCAACTTTCTAAGCAAAATTTTAAATAATATTTTTATAGTAAATTGGGAATATTTTCATCCCTTTATTAATTAAAAATAAACCAATCAGTCTGGGCATGGTGGCTCATGCCTGTAATCCCAGCACTGGGAGGCCAAACCAGGTGGATGGCTTGGGCCCAGGAGTTCGAGACCAGCCTGGGCAACACGGCGAGACACTGTCTCTACAAAGAATACAAAAATTAGCCTTGCCTGGTGGCCCGTGCCTGTAGTCCCAGCTACTCAGGAAGCTGAGCTGGGAGGATAGCTTGAACCTGGGAGGTGGAGGTTGCAGTTGAGCCTTGGAGGTGGAGCCGAGATCATGCCACTGCTCTCCAACCTGGGCGACAGAGCTAGAACCTGTCTCTCTCTCTCTCTCTCTCTCTCTCTCTATATATATATATATAGGCTGGGCGCAGTGGCTCATGCCCGTAATCCCAGCGCTTTGGGAGGTTGAGGCGGGTAAATCATTTGAGGTCAAGAGTTAGAGACCAGTTTGGCAACATCGTGAGACCCCCTCCCTACTAAAAGTACAAAAATTAGCCGGTCATGGTGGTGCGGCTGCTGTAATTCCAGCTACTCAGGAGGCTGAGCCAGGAGAATCGCTTGAACCCAGGAGACGGAGGTTGCAGTGAACTGAGATTGCGCCGCTGCACTCCAGTTTGGGCGACACAGTGAGATTCCATCTCGAAAATAAATAAATAAATAAAATTAAACCAACGCACAGTACATCAAAAGCTGGACTCTTGCACAATCCTAAACTGCCTCAGATAAACCGTGGTCAGTTTGTGAGACTCATTCATGGTGTGCAATTGTGGCTCCGTAGGGCCCTTTAGATTCGAATTCTCATCCAACTTCCCTTGCTACCCTAAGTTGCCCTCAAACTTTGTTCTTTTATTCACATCTGGCAGGAAGTTCAGAAGAGTAAGAGAAATATCTTGTTTTCTGATAGCCAAATCTTGATTTATTATCACTCAGGGCCATTATCGTCTACATGTTCTCTGTGTTTCTAAAGCTTTAGTGTACGAGACCAGGGGGATGTGAAAGGTACTTTTGAAAAATTCAGGTCTCAGAACTCCAGCCCCAGTGATGCTGATTCTAAAATTCTAGGGATAGGGAGTTGGGGACGCAGGTGGAATCAGAAATCTGGCGTAAGAATAAAATAACCACAGGCCACCCTGACAAAGATGGCCTCCTGGCCTCCCTTTAAGAAGCACTGGGGAGGACCTCAACCCCTTCTGATGGTTGGACAGTGATATTTTACCAGCAGAGGCAGGACCCCGATGCGTTCCAATGGGATGTTCCTCTCTGAGCTCTTTAAACGGAATGACAACCCCAAGCAGCAGAGCGTGTTAGCAACAGGTGCCCCAAAGGCTGGCTTGCCCATGTGTCTCTGTGCAGGGACGCTTTCACGGCGTTGTTTCCCTTCAGAGCGCACAGTGAGAGGAAGAGAGGCCAGCTCCTCCCGTGGCGGCCCCCACCCTACGCGCCCGGCCACTTACTTGCCCACCACCAGGCTGGCGCGTTCCAGCACCGCCAGGCTGCGCAGCGCATCCCGCGCCAGGAAGCGCTCACCGCGAGAGCACACCAGCACCACTTGCTGCGCGTTCTCCAGCAGGAGGCTGTGGCCGCCTGCCATGTCCCCGTGCGCCGAGGGTCTCCAGGAGGCCACCGGGCTCCGGCCACTGGCAGGACTCAGTGGAGGACGAAAAACCGCAGCCTGCGCCGCCCGGGGCCGGGAGGGTGGGGCGGGGGCGGGCGCTCGCAGCCGCTGCCCTTTGCTCGCCTCCCTCAACCACAGCAACCGGGGCGGTAAGCATTGCAAGAATGGCAATGAGTAGTAAACCTGATGAGGAATCCTCTCTTTTTTGGTCGTCTTGTCCCGTCCTGAGTAAACGAGATGGAGACTAGTGTCCCTACTTTTCAGATAAGGAAACTGAAGTTTGGTCACCCCGAGAGAGCAAAGTGAGCTGTGTCGATCACGTGGTTATGAGGAAGCGGGTCAAGGGGTGGTGGGATGAGGGCGCCCGGAGTGTTCAGGAGTGAGGGACGGGAACCTGGGGTACAGCCCCGGAAGGGGTTGGGGTGGGAGCCTGGAGATAGCGCTCCCGGAGAGGGCAGAGTAGGGGAAAGCTGTGCCCAGGGGCAGGGACCGGAGCTTGAAGGTAGAATCCCGGGAGAGGACAGAGTGGGGGAAACCTCTGCCTAGGGTGCTGGGACGCGAGCCTGGAGGCAGAGCACAGGGAGTGTACTGCGTGGAGGAAACATCTGCCCACAGGTTCTGAGGCGGGAGCCCGGGACTCAGAGGGCCGCGAGCCAAGGGAACCTGGGGGTGGGGAGGAGGGAGATGCGGTAGGGGAGGTGCTCCTGGGTCCGCGCGGGTGGCGGGTGCCGCGCACTTAGCCGTTGGCCAGCTCCGTTCCGGGATCTGCTACCAGACGGTCCCTGAGATAACGCGGAACCGGGCTGGGGGAGGATAGAGCCGAGACTGGAGGATCGATTGGCACCTCCGCCCACTTTTCCCACAACGCCTTTGCGAAGGATAGGTTGGAAAGGCTCCTGGATCCAAACTCAAACTCGCTGAGGTAAAACAGGTTTCAGCTCAGTGTCCGCCCCTCCGCATGCCCCCTCCCACCCCTCAGCAGTGTCTGGTGGGGTCTACAAGCAACTTGCGACCAAAATTGGAGACAGAATCAAGTTTATGGAAGATAGTCTGTGATTCTCAGCCTCGTCGCTTCCTGCTACCAATTGCTATGGAAACACTGCCAGGCACAGGCTTTTGTTTTGAGTCCTTAATTACTTAATTTCGTTTATACACGTTTATTACAAGCTCTGTGTTAAGTCTTGTGGAACATACAAAGACAGGAAAGGCGCTTTTCCTGCCCAGCAAAGACTTTACCATAAAAATGATACATGTGGACACAAATAATATACTATAAAAGCAGACTAAGCCTGCAAAACCACAAAATATAAAATTTAATTTCGTGTCATTAAAAACACCTAGAACAGAAAGCAAAAACTCTTTTAGATGACCACAACAAATAAGAATATAATTTAGCTTCATATTATGGCCTATAAAAGAGAGATCAGTTAGGAAATAGAGAGGAAAGATACAAATTGGAAAATATACAGACAATGTGAGTGAAAGAGACCTTAACGGTGGGTAGGGGAGGGGGCATCACAGCTTTCCCCTACTCTGCCCTCTCCCGGAGCGCTATCTCCATTCCTGGAGCTCGGAATGTTAAGACTCTACATGAAGCTGATTCAGGTCCCCCAGATTTGCACTAATATGGCTGGTAGACTCTTCTCCAATGACCAGGTTTCAAGAACTTTGATTGGGAGTTTCTTACGAAAAGTAGTTGTTATGCTTCCATTTCAAATGGTGGCAGTTGACAGAATGGGCCGGAGGGGTAGTAGGAATGGCACTAGCAAATAAATACAGCTCATAAATACAATCACAAACAGGTTGTGTGTGTGTGTGTGTGTGCATAGCTTTTAAAAAGCTTATACATATATATTTCTATGTCTTTAAAAAGAGAAGTAGAAATAGTGGGGAATAGAAACACATAAAGTCACTAATTCACAGAGAAATATTACAATTTTATGTCATAAAATTTCTGCTGAAGACTTTAATCGGTTACATTTTGCAATTTTAGGCATATTTGCAGAACTATGCAATTATAGGTATAAAGGATGGGTTAAAACTATAGAAAAATAGAAAGAGTTCAATAAACTTGTCTTAGTCTCAGTTCTGTTTCCTATGAGCTGTTTGACCTTGGGGAATTTATTTACAGTAATTTCTTGAAGCCTCCATTTTCTCATCCTTATCACAGGGAGAGCTATTTCTACTTTATGGGCTTGTCTGAGTTTTAATTAAAATAAAATATAAATCACTTAGCCCAGTGCCCAGCTCTAAACAAGTAATAGGTATTATTATTATTAGTTTATTTTAATCCTGCTATTTGTCTTGCTGGCCAATTAAGTTAAGGATTAGATTTCAGCCAATAGCATAGTTCCTCTCCTGACTTCACAGACCATGTACTTAAAGCTTGCAAGTTCTGGGTGAGTCTAAAAGAAATTATATTTCTTTTTCATAGGTATTTATGTTTGTGAGTGAACTGTGCATCTGATTCACAGTTCAGACAGACAACATTACCTGATAAGCTCCTGCAAACAGGAGGTTTGCAAAAGCAGAAAGGATGAGTGAATTTCTCTCCTTCATTACTGTTCAGTGGTTATAGATGGATATGGATGACACATTTTTCCTTGGCAATAACCAGCATCCTGATAGCAGCTCTTATAAAGTACTTTTCACATTATCTGACTGGTATATGCTGACTCTTTAACCCATCCTTCCTTCCTCTTGACCTCCAGGTTTTTTTTTGTTTTGTTTTTTTTGTTTTTACTTCGCAAAAGGGGCAATCAGAAATGTCAACAGAAAAGTCCATACTAAACAGTCTGACGCCAGTAGTGCCTTAAAGGTCAAGCTGAAAGTAATTTCCTCATCATTGTGCTGTGCTCTGATCCAGTCAAAAGAGGCAGCATGTGTCTAAGCAGGCCAAGGACCCAGTGGCTCCTGGCTTTTAGGTAAACAAAAATTGCTAGCTCTGATCTCTCTACACCATCCAAGGACACAGTTCACAGCCCCTTTTCCTAGTATTTGTCCAAGGTAGGCGGAGAGGAGGTGGGGAAAAAAATGGAAGGGCATTGGGTCTGAGAGAAACGGTCCAAATCCTTGTATATGCATGTGAAAATAAACATTACTTTTTTTCTCACATCTAGAAATTCATTTTCATTGGGTTTTAGAGGGGGTTGTTGCAAAAAACAAACTGCTTCGAATAACATCTGGTAGGCAGTGTTATTATTCATTTTATTTAGAGTTGGTTTAGAACATTAGGACTGGGCCTTATCAAATCCCACTCCTCTTTCCCCACTTCCCCTGGAGCTCAGAATGTTAAGAATCTACACGATTCTTAACAGGTCCCCCAGATTTGCACTGATATTGCTGGTAGACTCCTCTCCAATGACCAGGTTCCAAGAACTTTGATTGGTAGTTTCTTACGAAAAGTAGTTGTTATGCTTCCATTTCAAATGGTGGCAGTTGACAGAGTGGGCCAGAAACAGGAAGGATCTGGACAATATTTACTTTGAGAAAAGTATAAGGGATCACTTCTTTACAAGCTATGAGCAGGCACTTTGCATATATTATCTGTGTTTGAAAATTGCAGCAAGCCTGTAAGGAAGGTGTTATTATTCATACTTGATAGAAGATTCTGTGGTGCATTAAGCGTAATTCTCCAGACCCAGAGAAAGAGTGAATAAGAGTCAGAGGCAGGAGTTAAACCAACCTGCCCCTAAAGGCCGGGGGCCTTTCCCTAGTACCATTCCTACTACCCTTGCAATGACACTTGTCAAGGGACCTGACTCAGAGACCACATATAATTGTACAGCTATTAAAGGAATACAACAATTAATGAAATCAACCAGCATGGTGTTCACTTGAAAGAACAGTATACATTACACCCATGTCCCTTTGGATATCTAATACGTATCTCAAATTTCACATGTTCCAAAATGAGCCTCTGATCTTCCCAACTGCCCCTTCCCCCACTGCCTTCTCTGTTTCAGTTTATGGCAGCTTCATCCTTTCTGCAATCAGTTCTTTATCTTATACTTCACATCCAAACCATCAGCCAATCCTGTAGGCTCTACTGTCAAAACACATCTAGAATCGAACCACCTCTCACCACTTCCACTGCTATCCCAAGAGATCGCATTATCTCTTGCCCCCCAGTGGCTGTAATCTAATAGATCTCCCTGTGTGACCCTTTTCCCTTTCTACAGTCTCTTCTCAGCTCAGCATCAGAGTGATTCATTGTGTGGTTCCATTTCACTGAGAAAATGACCTCCAGGGCCCTAGTGATCTTGGACTTGTCTCTCTGGCTTCACCTGGTGCTCTCCCCTTTGTTTACTGTGCCTAAGGCCACTGGTCTCCTCACTATTCTTGAAACACACCAGGCACATTCCTCCCTCAGAGTGCACCTCTCCATGCGCTTACACTCCCATAGCACTTACTATGCAACTGAGGCCATCCAAAGGCTGGACATAGTAACTTACCTAACAATACCACAAGGTACACACTATTTGCATCATTCCTCTTGAAAAAAGTGTGAGGATTAAGGGACACAGAGAGAGTCTATGCTGTTAATCATTTAGCTTATGCCACCTCTAAAAAGGATGGCTGGTGGTTATACATCACCATTTTACATTCCTGATATTTCTGAACTTTTGATCTTTTTCATCTATTGGAAGTTGGATTTGAACGTGTATTTAAGATGTGAATTTTCAAGCATTTGCTATGCAACCCAATTACATTTTCCCTCTCTTTTGGTACAGAGCCTTTGTTTAGCCATCATGCTAATTTTATTTCGCACAACAAAGACATCCACTGATTGGAAAGGGGACCTTATAATCCCTTCCTAAGAATAACTGGTTCTGTTCCTCTCCCTCCCTTTTGTTCACCAACCCTTCATTCATCAATATGGGAATTCATGCATATGGAAGTATAGATGTGTAACAACGTCTAGAGACTGCTGATTGCATTTACATGTTATATGAACTATATGAGACAGAATAAGAGCAGACATCTACTCTTAGCAACTGGCTTAGAGGAACAGAGCGTCCAGTTTTTCTGTGAGTGAAAAAGTCCTTGAACCCATGGATAAAGATGCTCATTGCAGAAAGACTTTAAGGATAAAGGGAATGAGAGTGGGAAGGAGAGTGAATTTAGATAGAAGGATCAAAGGAGTGAAAATGTGACAAGAAAGAGGTGATCAGAATCTTAAGAGTGAAGATGAGAACAGAGTGTAAAATTAAGAAAATCTACAAATCTTTAGTATTAGCCATCCAAATTCCAAATACTCATCAACCACAGGTTGTCACCAATTTTTTACCAATCTTTCTTTTCCACCCGTGAGAATGAATGTAATGCCTGTGAAAAAATGTTTGGTCATTTGAAAAAGTGTAATATCATTGTTATAGGTTTGTATTCATTTTTTTCTCTTTTATAAGCTTTAACATAATTTTTAAAAATCTTTGTTTCTATAACCACTGGAACTAAAATCAGGTGCTAATTAGTAAATATTAGTACATAATAGTTCCCACTTACTGAGCTGGTCTGTAAGCCAGGCACCCCACTTGGTTAAATCCGTTGCCTACTGAATCCTCAAGAAAGCCTTAAGAGGTGTGTCCACTTTATGAAACAGGAAGCAGAGGCTCAGAGATGCTGAGTAATTAAGATGTAGGTTCCATGAAGACAATGGTTTTTGTTCTTCTTTTTGCCTTTTAAAAAATTGCCCCGCCCCTCACACGTAGAACAGTACCCGACACATATTATTTACTCAATAAATGTTTTTTGAATGATACATGAACTTGCTCACACATAAGAAAATACCAAACCAAAATTCAAAAATCAGTCTTCTCCAGAGTCTGTGTTCTGTATCATCTGCTGCTCTGCTTCCAGGATATTTAGCTCTTAAATATAGCTCTTTGAGATTCCTGAGGCACAAATTTAAATGGGCAGCCCCAAATAGAATGTGTTGTCCATTGTTTCTGTTGTGGGCACACTTTTAAATACAAACTCCTGGGTGTCCTTTATCCCTAAAATGAATTTTAGGGATTTATTTTTTATTATTAATTTAATTTATTTTAAATTTATTATTAAATTAATAATATTAATTTATTATTAACTATTAATATTATTAATTATTAATATTATTAATAAATTAATAATAATTTATTATTAAATTAATAATATTAATTTATTATTTTCCCATTGTAAGAGTTACACCAGCTCACTGAGAAATTTGAATGATACTAAAAGTATAGAAATCAGAACAAGGATTAGAGTAAGGCCAGTGAAGCTCCAGCTTCAGGCACAAAATTTAAGGAGAAAGCAAAAACTCAGTAATCAAAATAAGCAATGTTTTAATTCACTATTTTAAATATATAAATTAATGTAAAAAATTCATGATAAATGAAATAACAGAATTTTAAATAGAGACAAGTTCTGTAGGCCAGGGTTTGGGTGAGGAGAGTGAGGTACTGGCTCTCAGGGTCACACAAGTACAGGGTCAGATACTGTCTGTATTTACAATTCTGATATTTTGTTCATTATAGACTTTCCTGCATTTATTTGGAATTTTATAAAAATATATTGCATTAACAATTTATCATAATAACTGCAGGTTGTTTTTTTTTGTTTTGCTTTTGTTTGTTTATTGTGGCAATTCTTAAGTTTTGCAGCTAAGGTTGAGTGCCTCAATCACCTAACCATAATCCCAAACCTAGTAAAAATGAGAGACTGCACCAAATCACATATAATCACGATTCGTGTTTGATGAACAGCATTTCAAAACACCTCTCAGATTTTTCCATGCGTTTTTTAATGCACACTATCCCTACTCTTTTGAAATGTTTTGTTTTTCAACCGATACCATGGACAGAGGTAAATAGTGACTACAGCATCATTTTAAGGGGCCAATTGGTAGTTCATTTTATAGATATACCATAGCTATTTGGTCAACTCTGTATTTATGAAATGACACTGAACAAACATTATTGCACATGCTTTTTTGGCTGCTTGTCTGATTATTTTCTTGACATAAGATACTAGAATTGAAATCGCTAGGTCAAAGCGTATGAGTGTGCTCACTGCTTTTAAAAGCTATAAGGACTGTTAAGGAGTCACTGGCAGTTGAATTTAGCCTTTTATATGATACTCATAGAATTTTTTTAATGTTTTTTTTTTTTCTTTCAACAGGGCCAGGCAACAAAATGTCCTCAAATTTATCGCCAACACTGAATTCTGGAGGTAAAAAGAGATCAATCAATATATTCTTGTTTGGGCCTAGTAATGTTAGGCTCCATAGCAGATTGTGAGCATAAGAAAAGGAGAATGTTACACAATAAATATAAAATGTAATGAGTTTATAAACTACCTGCAGAGAAGATTCTGTTCTACTTTGTAATTCAAAAAAATCTTCAAATCAGAGGGTGCATTAAATTGTCATATTTAGCTAGATTGCCTCAGTCTCTCATGACATAAAACAATTAACTCAATTGTTTGTCATAGTCCAGGACATTCCAGGACATATATAACTAAACTTTATGAAAATCTGCCCTCTTCTTTCCTTTACCATCCTTTCTCATCTCATTCTTCTGCCTATTTTTTATTTTTATTTATTTTATTTTATTTTATTAATTAATTTTTTTGAGTCAGAATTTCGCTCTTGTTGTCCAGGCTGGAGTGCATTGGCGTGATCTCAGTTCACCACAAACTCCGCCTCCTGGGTTCAAGTGATTCTCCTGCCTCAGCCTCCCAAGTAGCTGGGATTACAGGCATGCGCCACCACGCCCAGCTAATTTTGTGTTTTTAGTAGAGACAGGGTTTTACCACGTTGGACAGGCTGGTCTCAAACTCCTGGCCTCAGGTGATCCACTTGCCTCGGCCTCCCAAAGACCTGGGATTACAGGCATGAGCCATCGTGCCCAGTCTCCTTCTGCTTATTTATATGCATACAAAGAATAAGGATTTATTAGTATATAAGGAATTATAATTTTCACTTATAAATCTGACAAAGATTTAACATGTGGATAACACTAAGAGTTCGTAATAGGTAACAGGCACTCAGGCACTCTATAGGCATTCTCTTTAAAGGAATATTTGGCACTATTTGTATTTACAATGTAAAAGTTTGGCTGCAAGTGACAGAAAATATAAAACAACGGTGGCTTAAACATGATAAACGTTTGTTCTCACTCAGGTAAAGTCTGGATGCAAGCATTCCATACGGAGGTTCACATCAGGGGCCCAACTCCTTCTGGCTTGTTCCTGGGCTATGTTCTTGGTCCAAGAGGGCTGCTTCCACACCAGTGGTCACATCCATATTCCTGCCAGCCAGGAGAAAAGGGGAAGGCGAGGACATGCCCTGAAGTTGCACTCGCCACTTCCGCTAACATCCCCTTGGCCAAAACGTAGCCACGTGGTTATACCTGCCTCCAAGGGAGGCTGAGAAACATAGCCTCTACTCTGAGTGTTCATTTAGGGTTCTATTCTTATAGAAGAAGGAAGAATGGATATTGGGGGTTCACTAGTAGTCTCTACTCCACTACCATTTTTTTAAAAAAAGCATTTAAAAGGAGCCATGTTGAGCATTTATTCTGCAGATATGCATACACAAGTGATTAAAAATGCGTGTACAGGAATATTTATTGCAGCATTGTTTACAATAGCAAAAGACTGGAATCAATCATAATATCCATTGGAAAGCGCTGGTTATATAAACTGTAATACATCCAGGGAATGGAATAATGGGATACTAGACAGAGAGCTTCTCTGTCACCCAAGCTGGAGTGCAGTGGCACCATCTCGGCTCACTGCAACCTCCGCCTCCTGGGTTCAAGCAATTCTGGTGCCTCAGCCTCCCGAGTAGCTGGGATTACAGGTGCCCACCATGCCCGGCTGATTTTTGTATTTTTAGTAGAGATGGGGTTTCCCCATGCTGGCTAGGCTAGTCTCCAACTCCTGACCTCAGGTGATCCACCCGCCTCGGTCTCCCAAAGTGCTGGGACTACAGGTGTGAGCCACCACACCTGGCCGATGATGCCTTTTTTAATTAAAGGATTTATATTACTTTGTAAGGAACTGTGACAGGGCTAAGATTTTCTTCTACTTGCATACTAGAAAGTTAGCTTGCTACAGTTTCCTGGATGCTGACAAGAGATACAAAACCCTTGGGTCAGAGACAAAGGACTTTATTACTCACAACACGACAAGCAGCATGAGTTCTGACATATTTGGTACCAGTACCCTAAGACCCATAGCCTTCTTTTAAGATTAATACAATTATGTATTAACAACATAATATGAATCTTTGAACCCATCAGAACCCACAGACAAGGATCTTCACAAGAAATTACATCCTGATGATAACTACATACCCTATCCCTTGGCTTTCATCCCCTAAGCCAGGCACCATGTTGAAGTCTGTTTAGATTATTTCTTTACTTTTTTATTTGTATGTATTGTTTTATACTGTATATACGTAGTCTTAAAGAGCATAATTTTCATTTTAGTTTTAACTTTTAAAAAAGGATATCTTGTTGACTATCATATTTTAGAACTTTTCAGTTAACATTATATATATACACATACATACATATTTATTTCAATTTTTAAAAAACAATTGTTTTTATAGACAAGGTCTTGCCATGTTGCCTGTTGCCCAGACTGGTCTTGAATTCCTGGGCTCAAGCGATCCACTTTGGCGTCCCAAACTACTGGGATTACAGGAGTGAGCCACCATGCCCAGCCAGCATTATATTTTAAGATTCATTCATACTGTTGTATGTTTTAGATCATTCATTTTCACTGCTATACAATATAACAAAATGCAAATGTACTATAGTTTACAGTTGACGCTTCTTTGGATATTTGGGTTGTTTACAGCTTATTGCTATTAAATCGTGCTGCTAATAAACATTCTTGTTCACATCTCCTGGTACACAAGAAAGTTTCTCTTGCATGTATACCTAGGAATAGAGTTGCTGAATCTGACATTAGCTGGATATCCAACTTCAGATAATAATGTCAAAGTGTTTTCCAAAGTAGTTGTGTCAATCACATCTCTACAAGAAATGTGTTAGAGATCCTGTGGAATTATATCCTCTCCAAACACTTGGTATTGCCAAATTTTTTAATGCTTTGCCAATCAAATGGGTGAAAGTTGGATCTCATTATGGTCTTTATTTGCATTTCTGATAACTAATGAAGTTGAACAACTCTTCATATGTTTATTGACCATAAGTGTTTCTTCTTCTGTTAGATGCCTATTTAATACAGTCTTTTTTCTATTTGTCTTTAGGTTGTTAGTGCTCTTTATATTGATTTGTAGTTTTGTAGATATGGTATATCCCAATTATGTCGTCTGTATGGAGTACAAATATTTTCTCCCAGTTTTAACTTATCTTTCACTTTGTTTATGGTGTCTTTTGATGAACAAAGTCTTTAATCTTAATGTAGCCGAATTTATCAATATTTTCTTGTATAGTTACTACTTTGTATGTTTTTAAGAAATCCTTCCCTAGCAAAGGCCTAAATGATATAACCTGTAGGTTCTACTGCTTGTTTTAAAGGTTTTTGGGGGACAATTTTATGCTTATTTCATCTGTAGTTAATTTTTGTATGGAGTGTGAGGTAAAGATCCAATTTCTTCTTTTATTCCATGAGAATAGCCATCTTCCCCAACTCGTTTTTTGAACAGTCTCTCCTTTCTCCATATGTGGATATGTTCCTGAGATTTCCATTCTAGTCCATTAGTGAATTTGTCTTTCCCTTTGCTGTAGCTCCATAATGATACACAGCAGAGCAATCTCCCCTTCCTGTTCCTCTTGGGAAGGGTTTTCACTATTCTTGTTTCTTGGTTTTCCTTACTAGTTTTAGAATTTACTTATCAAGTTTAGACAAACTCCTGTGGGACTATGTACTTATATTACTGGGAATCCATTGATCATTTGTGGAGAATTGGCATTTTTATGAAATCATGTCTTTCTATCTACAAACATGACTCATCTCTCTATTAATTTAGATCTACTTTAATGTACTTTAAGATTATGTTATGCAGTTAAATCAATTCTGCAGTTTTTCAGTGCCTTTTATGTACTAACCTAGCTGCTCGGGGTTCAAATATGAATACATCAGTATGACTGGAGACAGTGAAAGCCATGATTTCTAAAAAGATATTTAATATTGGTAGGTACTCCAAATATGATTTTAAAAAAATAAAATCAAGTCCTGAAACAATACCAAAAAATGAAGAAACAAATGGAAGAAAGAAAGGAGGGAAAGAAGGAAGGATAAATGGGTGCTTGAGGGAAAACACCCCGTATGCAATCCATTAGGGAATTCTGTTAGCTCTCTCTTCAGAAGGTTCTCAGAACCCAACCACTTTTCCCCATTTAACTCCTGCCGTGCTGGTCTCAGCCCATTACCTCTTACCTGAATTAGTCTGATCTCAACCCTTGACTCCCCTACTCCAAGTCTCTTCTTATCCAACTACAAAGTGTTAAGTAGGTCAGACCACATTCCTTCTCTGTTCAAAGCCCTCTGATGCTTCTCTAGTTTACTGAGGGTCATTGCCAAAGTCTTCAAGACTGCCTACAAGATACTAAGTAATTATCCTTGCTACTACAGTCCCCCGACCCCATTTATTTCACTCCAGCTACACTAGCCTTTCTTAAACACATACAAGAGAGGATCTTGCCTCAGGACCTTTGCATTGGCCGTTGCCACAGCCAGTCCCTCTCTTCCTCAGATATCCACTTGACTGATTCTCTCAACTCCTTTAAATACCACTTGATCAGTGAGACCCATTCTGACCACTCTACTTAAAGTTGCTCAGCCCAGCCCTCCTATATTCTGCTTTATTTTTCCCACAGAACTTTATTACTTTAAAACATATTATAAAAGTTACTTTATTATATTAATGCTTATGTTTTCTATTTCCAAACCCCCCACTTCACCTCAGTATAAGATCCTCAAGAGCAGCCATCCTTGTTTTCTTCGCCATTGTAACATCAGTGCCTAAAACAGTACCTGGCACATAGTTGAGGCTTCATAGGCATTTGCTGAATGAATGAATGAGTGGATGAATGAATTAGTGAATAAATAGAAGAATTAGGACAAGACAAATACAGTGTCAGTAAGGAGCAAGGCTAAGAAAGGAGTGAGACTGTGTGAGTGTGGTAGACAGAATAATGGCCCCCCAAATGTTTCCACATTCTAATCCCTGGACCCTGTGAATACATTATGTT